CTTAGGCTATTTCTACCCTCGTCTATATAAGGTCCCTCAAGGAGTGTCACAAACCTATACAGTACACAATTATTCATCATATTCTACATGTCTTCCGGTCGTCCGTCAGGCAAGGCCGTAGAGACATGAATAACAAATAAGATACAATAAAGTCACTTGTTTAACGTAAGATGTGAAGTAACACATATTCTTAATTACGGAGCAACGCCACTGTACAGTAATCTATCGGGTTTTGCTACGACCACACGATGAATGAACTGGGGGTAAGATAACACTATATGGACCGGAAATGTCGGCCAGTCGACTCACTGCTGGATTCACTACAGGCAGACCGAGTAAGACCGGAAGATATATTTCATTTTTTGGCTGGATATTTGTGAACGAGTTCTGTTTTGTTTTGTAGAGCCCGTTCTCATAAACAATGACCGGGTGCTCGTTAATCCTGCCTGCCCCATCACCCATGACTCACAGTTGATTTGGGAACAGTACTATGCTCTCTTCCTGTGCTGGAACCTCGCCTCTCTAAATGTTGCACCCACGTACTGCAAATATAAATATTTGGCAACAGAACCAAAACCCCTAACCTAAAAAATTGGTATTTATATTAGTATTAATTTTTACTTGAGAAAATATATTTAGTTAAAGAATAAGGTAAATTGATGAATGTGTCTTGTTCGGAGACATAAGAGATATGTGTAGAGATGATTGAGAGACGAACTGGAGAGGCATTATGAAGACGTAGAGGTATGATAGAGGGAGACACGAGGAAGGTAGAATATGAGAGAGAAAGAGAGAGAGAGAGGTGACTGGTGGAAAAATAATATCACTCTAAGCCTTATTACGTATTCGTCGATAAAGATAAGCAAATGTTAGTTAATTTGAATGTTATTGTAGCATAGAGCTATTCTCTCACCTGCCTCCTCATGCACACGCCCCTCTCTGGCTGATATGAGGTGAGGATAAAATGACAATGGTTTCTTTGCTCTCTTCAGCTTCAAAATGATTTAGTCATGTGGCAAGGTATGCACCTTCCCAATAATTTCCTCTCTCCAACTGCTGTTAGAACCACTATAGTTTCCCCTTCTCTGTTCAGCCTCTCCGTGGCCAAGAACGTATGGGCGACTAGACAAAATCGATTTAATTTCGTTCTGAACTTTCTTCCTTTCCTTATATACTGATGAGAATAAGTATCTGTGAACTGTTGTTATATGCACACTTGTGAGCTTTAATAATAATAATAATATACCTAAAATTTACACAATTTATATAACTTTGTTTTCATACACTGAATTTATTATTGCTGTTTTAATATTTCTCATAAGCGTGTTATTGACTCTCTGGAACAGCGGAGTCAGTGTCTTCCGTGTCTTGAAACAGCGTGGTATAAGCAGCGTTGTCCCGGGCTCTTGAGACGTTCGATAGTCGGGGCAGGTGAGAGTATTGTTTATGTGGAAGGGGTAACTGGACACTTGTGTGAGCGGGGAGGGTGTAGCGTGACACCTGTGCAGGGGGTAGTGTGACACATGTGTGCGTGGGGTAGCATGATATTTATTTGGGTGAGAGAGGTGTCATGGCCCATGCGTGGACGGGGAAATAGTGTGAGACCTGTGTGGATGGGTTGAAGGGGTAGGGTGATATCTCTGGGCGTGGAAAGATAACATGATACGTTTATGGGCTAAGATAACATATTATGATAGAAGATGTATATTATTATTATATCACGTTTTATGTATAATTAGGCCTAGGATAGGTTATATGTTTTGGTTCCGTTGGCAATTATTTGTCTTTGTAGTGCATGAGTGAACCATTTAGCGAGGTGCAATTCGAACACAGCACTGTTCGAGAAAAGTTGCTATGTGTAATATCCGCTGAGGAAGTGTACCACAGCAGAGCGTGTACTCTTCCTCAGGGAACATTAGTTATGAGAACGAAGTAAAGGATCGGTGCCTAACCACTTGGATTATCGTGGATCAACCCGTCCTCGACTCAAGTCCATTACGTCCAGCGGTCGACCCCACAGACGCATTCATAAATTTGTACATGCTGTTCATTCAAAACGGGATTTTTATTAAATATAAATTAATATTATAATATATTAGTATATTGTGCATATATAGGCATAGGTTAGGTTAGGTGTTTAGGTTCTGTTGGCGATTATTTGTATTTGAAATACGTGGGTGAAGCATTTGCAGCGTTGTGGTTCGAACAAAATTGGTCAGTGAAGCACTTGTTCCGGAAGTGTTCCAAGCAGATAAGTTGTGAGTCGTTTGTAAACCGTTTTTCATTCATAAACAGGGGGTTTGGCGGGTGCATGGAATCACTTTTGGGTCTTTGTTTGGAAGACGGGTTGGTGGATCGAACCCCATCCCTGCATGAAGCGAGGTCGTTGTTGTACTGAACAGTCTTAGTCTGAGGTTCATTTCCTCAGCGTACAGTATATTTATCACCACTCAAGAAGTATATCTCAGCAGAGCATGTAATCAGTTCAATGAAAGTGTACATCAGTAGAATGTTTACAACTGTCCACTGAAGAAGTACACCAGATGCGGAAAGTTCTAGCATTAATTGAGAAAAACACTATTCCTGAGAATATTTACTCAAGGCTCCCCATAAAACATATACACAAAGACACTGATGACTCCAGTTAATGAACGCCATCACCATTTGCCTCGTCTTACGCCATTGTGAGTCTTGTGCCAGGAGTTCTATGGGACGACTTTACCAGTTGATCTCTGCTCCAACACACGCCAAACCACGCCCCTGCAAAAAGCTCTTCTAAAGACCTGCCATTATAGATGATCTTTTTTGTTTAGAAGTTCGTTTTCTGATCAAACTTTCCTCTAAGTTGCCATGGGTATATTTATAGGCTGTACAAGGCATTTTACAAGTTCAGAATTTATCACTTGTGTATTTATGAAGACTAATATGTCATACAAACATCTCTTCGTTTATAATAACAAATATATATCAACACCTTCAATAAATCATTGTGCCACGAACAATTAAAGGTGCAGCAAAATCAGCGGGGAAGCAAAAGGCATTCTCGACTAAAGGAAAAATTTAATGAGTTAGAGAGAGAGAGGGAAGAGGAAGGTGGGTGGTAAGAGGCAGGTCTCGGAGAGCCAGCCATGGTAGTGAAGATGTTATAAATAATATAGATTGTGCTTAGTGAAGATAATTATATGTATTTGACAACAGTGAGGGCAATGTAGTGTCTGCCTGGGTGGATACGTAGGAATAGTCCCGTAGTCAGTTGCCTGCAGTTCCACCATGGGTTTAAGTGTAATTCATCTGGCTGAACAGCAGTGCTGAGGCTCCTGTTGATGATGGTGACTGTTGATTTTCCAATTGCAAACCGTGCAACTTGTATGCATCTACTTTATTATGCATTTTGCTCCACACAAATGCATAGCCTAAAGTAAATATTCTCATGAATTGTGTTTTTCTCACAATGCTAGAACTTTCCGTATAGGCTTATGTATAGTTAGGCCTAGGTAAGGATAGGCTAGATTTTTTGACTAGGTTAACTAATTTAGAAAGTGTTTAAAGTACAGGCTGGCAGTGAGTGAAACGAGCCTCGAGTCATAGCTACGGACTATCACGGACAAGGAGAGTCCATATTTTGTACTTACACATAGTGAATCCGACGGCCCTTTGTTTTGATGCTGGGCTGTCGTGTCAGGGGAGACTTGAACAAAGTAGCCTGGTAGGCAACGTTGGACCTTCGTTACTAATGTTTATCCGATGTTAATTGAACCCAATTGAAAATAGCCTATGGCCTCCTTTGAGAAAAATGGAATGTATTTTTCATTACTTGTATTTTATTTTACTGTATGTGGATGAAACATTTTAAGAAGTGTGCTTTGAGATAAAAATATACGAATCTTAACAAAATAAAAAAAAAAAAAAGTTTTTTTATTTGCTGTTATGACAATAGAACCCACAAAGTTTTCCTGACACAATCAGTTACTAGTTGATTGACAGTTGAGAGGCGGGACCAAAGAGCCAAAGCTCAACCCCCGCAAGCACAATTAGGTGAGTACAACCTGTCCTCGGGCCAGGCTCGTTACAGCGACAGACCCTTCCCCCTTCCCAAGAGGCATTAATAAATTTTAATTTATTGTATATTAAAAATTAGGCTTGTTCTCATTTGTTAATATTATTATCTATTAAAGATCTATGTATAGTTAGGCGTAAGTTTGGTGTTTAAGTTTTGCTGGCGTTGTATATGAAGTACGTGGGTGAAGCATTTACAGAGTTGCGATTCGAGCAGATTACGTGAACGAAGCACTGTTCGGGAGAAGTACATACGTCATCAGTTGTGAGTCGTATGTAAACCGTTTTACATTCATACACAGGGGGTTTGGCGGCTTGATTAGCGATCATTTAGCCATTGTTTATGAGGATGGGCTGCATGACAACAGAACCTATCAAGCTTTCATGACAACACTGCCCACGAAGCCTTCATGACAACACTGCCCACGAAGCTTTCATGACACTAGGGCCAACGAAGCCTGCTCGACAACAGAACCCATGAAGCGCAGCGTTTCTTAAGAGTTCCTCAGTGTTTATGTTGCCATTGTGGACATACCGCCCGTGTCATACGTATTTATTCTACATTTAAAGCTGTAGAAATTTAGCTTTAAACTAAATAAAACATGAGTGGAAAGCATCCGTCAAGTGATAGTGACACCTCGAAACTAAAGAAAGCCACGAAAACTATCAGTTTAGTAGTGAAATTACGTGTTAAATCGGATTGATGCTTCAGAACGATCTGCGGCCTGGATTTTGTACTTGGTCTGACACAAACGACTGTTAGAACGCTCACAGTATAAGAACAAGTGCTCAAGTTCAAGTATGTTTATTGAGACAAGAAAAAAATACATCTCAAAGGGATAGAGACTGAGTGATCCTATTATGTGCTACGAAAGTTGTAAAGTGCAGATATTTTTCTGTTTCTGAAAGAATTTTTTTTAAATTGATAAGTGTTTGAATTCAGGATGAAACGAATGTCACTAAAGTCATACATCTCCAGAGAAGATGAAAAGGCAAACAGTTCTGCCTCTATGAGTACTTCTAGTAACCTTAGCTCCTCAGGAAGCCTCAACACACGCTCTCCCCCTGCTGGCTCTGGTAAGCACAACTGTATTGTACTAGTACTGTATCATCCTATTTGTTTAATGTATTTTAAACATATTTTGATCTCTCTGCCAAAGAACCCATTTTCACTTTATTCCATTCAATCTGATGGATAAATAGATTTGGATTTACGTCGTTTAACTTTAAATGTCATGATTCAGAAATGAAGATTGAGAGATTACTAAAATAATGTTACTTTATTTTGAGAAAATGTAGATTTTGATTACACAGTACGAATCATTGAACGAAATACGCCTTTGGAGATCACAACATTTGAGTATCATTGGTTGGTAGTCAGCATGTGTAAAACCTGATACGACTTTGATTGACACCTGGGCAGGTATTCTTGTTGAGTATTTTTGCACGTTGAAACTACCTGGTTACTCTGACAGTGTTAATCATGGCGGGAGGCTCACTCGTAGCGCAACCTGTCCTCTTACAAAGTACGTCACTTTTCGCTGGTATGGGTTTCACAAGGCCAAAAATTGTACTAGAAAATGGAAGCGGCTGGCGAAAGTGGCGTACTGTCCCGTTTTCTGTTTTGGGTCCTCTGGTAGGTTAGGAGAGACTTTTTCAGTGTCAAAATAGTTAGTAAATCGAATGCACTAAGCAGTAGTGTGGTGGAGGCTGACTCCATACACAGTTTCAAATGTAAATATGATAGAGCCTAGTAGGCTCAGGAGTCTGTACACCAGTTGATTGACGGTTGAGAGGCGGGACCAAAGAGCCAAAACTCAACCCCCCACAAGCACAACTTGGTGAGTTCACACACACACGCAAAGCGTACCCAGGAGCAAATAACACCAACCCATCACCTTTGGCTACACAAGATGAACCTCTGACTCGCAAATTGCACTCAGTAAATCAGAGCAAACATGTGTAATCCTTCCTGTGAGTTAATAACATTAAATGATGCTTTAATAGTGAGAGACGTCTTTACCTGCACGGTACGTCATGCGTCTGTGCGTTGCTTACCTGTTACTGTTGATGCTACGGTGACACTGTTGATGCTGCGGTGACACTGTTGATGTTACGGTGACACTGTTGATGTTACGGTGACTCTGTTGATGTTACGGTGACACTGTTGATCCTATAGTGACACTGTTGATCCTATAGTGACACTGTTGATGTTACGGTGACTGTTGATGCTACGGTGACAGTGTTGATCTTACTGTGACACTGTTGATCCGTTGATCCTACGGTGACACTGTTGATGCTACGGTGACACTGTTGATCCTACGGTGACACTGTTGATCTTACGACTTGTGTTCTGTTGTTTTTGACCTGATCATATGGGTCTAATTTTATATAACTTGATTTGCCTCTTCTTAATCCTCCTTCTGGACCGTCCTTCCCTTCCTTCCACCTTTCTTTACCTTTTCTTCATTCCCACCCCCCTTTAGGGCCCTTGACCGCCCCCCCCCACTAATGGCCCTGGACCTACGGCCCTTGACCGCCCCCCCACTAATGGCCCTGGACCTACGGCCCTTGACCGCCCCCCCCCCACTAATGGCCCTGGACCTACGGCCCTTGACCGCCCCCCCCCACTAATGGCCCTGGACCCCTACTACCCAATTACGGTCCTGGACCCCCCCCCCAACTCCACCCTGGAAGGCAGACAGTTCAGCAGCGCCTGGAGATGGTAACCAGCAGCTCTTAATTGACAATCTGGTGGGGGCCAGACAGCAGCTGCCCGCGCTGGCTTGCTCTTTTACACCAGTTGACAAACGCCGTTGCTTTGGTGGTTCGTCTGTGTGTGTGTACTCACCTAATTGTACTCACCTAATTGTGCTTGCGGGGGTTGAGCTTTGGCTCTTTGGTCCCGCCTCTCAACTGTCAATCAACTGGTGTACAGATTCCTGAGCCTACTGGGCTCTATCATATCTACATTTGAAACTGTGTATGGAGTCAGCCTCCACCACATCACTTCCTAATGCATTCCATTTATTAACTACTCTGACACTGAAAAAATTCTTTCTAACGTCTCTGTGGCTCATCTGGGTACTAAGTTTCCACCTGTGTCCCCTTGTTCGTGTCCCACCCGTGCTGAAGAGCCGTGTGTGTGTGTGTGTGTGTGTGTTTGGATGGGGTGGGGCATTGTTCTCACCTAGTTGTGCTTGCGGGGGTTGAGCTCTGGTTCTGTTTCCGCCGGCGCCGGGAATCGAACCCCGGTCCACAGGACTACGTGTCCAGCGTGCTGTCCACTCAGCCACCCAGCGTGTGTGTTTGTGTACACGTGTGAATGTGTGCATATTTTCTATTTTGCTTTTAATATCAGCAACACATTTGCTTTGAAATCAAATGAATAAAGCTTTGAAAAAATCTGTCTTCGGTTACGGATTTGATAAGAGAGGGTTGGGGGGTGGGGGGTTAAGGCCCTTGCTTGAAAATAGGGCATCGCCTTAGAACAACCTGCTCTATTGCTACCTATCCTAGTACCCCAGAGCTACCTGTTCTAGAGCCACCTGACCTAATATCCTAAAGGTACATGGTCTAGGACCCTTCAGCTATCTGCCTTTGTGCCATATTCACCTGCCGAGTGCCATAGTCACCTGCCCTAGTGCCATAGCGCTGCTTGCCCTAGTACCCCACAGCTACCTGCCCTGGTACCATAGAACCACCTGGGTTATAACCATCTGGACACTGGCACAGAGAGGTTCAGGTGGTTCTCAGCGACCCCTGTACGTCACAATTACCCCAATAGACTTTCATTCAGATCCCCCTCGGCTGCCCACCACAGCACACTCTGGCAGCAGGTCTCTTCGTCCTCTCGTCTATAAACTGGACCTGTGTCCAAGATTTACTGTGTGATGTAACAGTAATATTTAATATGTCACCTAATTATACCTTGAGCTCGTAAAAGCACTTTAATCACCTGTGGTTGAGTGCTGAGTAACTCGCCATTTAATGTGGCAACTGTCTAGCTTTGTCTGTGTAGAGCAGACAAAGCAGCCATAATATATAATGCTGGCTAGCATTGTAATTTTCTATTGTAAAATCACGTAAAACACTTACTCAAAATCCCACAAGACTGTAGTGGAACTAATCTCTAACATCGTATATGGAGGACAGATGAAAAACGAATATATGCTGATTACCATTATAAACTAAATGGCCACGATTGTGTATTAAAAACTAAAGAAAACAAGGAAATTAGTCCAATCAAAATAGATACACGTGCTTAGTTGTTTACCTCTTGAATGTATATTTGTTTATGTGGTCAGCTGGTCGGATGTTTGTATATCCATCCAGCTGTATAGTTGTTTACCTGTATAGTTATCTTGCCTGTATATTTGTTTATCTGGCTAGCCAGTCTGCCTGCCTGGCTAGCTCACAGGTAGTCTGTCGACTAGCAAGCCATCTGGCTGTAGTATTCATTTCATAATCCGGCTGGTATCTATCTGGTTCTCTAAACAGTTTTCTGGCTTGCCAGATGGCTGGTGAGCAATTATCATGACTGTGTATAAAGCAATTTCTGGTGGCTGGCTATAGTCCTGCACGAGTAGGTATTCAAAGGTTATCTACGAGCTTGGAGAATGTGTCGAGCTTGATGTAGGAGCCGCTACTTACTGTAAGATTCCCCCTGTTGCTCCAGTGATCTTGCTAATATGGCTTTAATCCTTTAATCATCCACCACTCTTCCACCCACTTTGCACCCCCCTCGTGTTTATTCCTTCTTTTCTCTTTGCCTTTATATTTTGCTTTTTATTACTATCTCATCTCCTTTTCTGCTCCCCCCCACCCCCCCTGTACTTCCTCCATCTCCTCTCCATATTTCTCCCTCCATCTTCTCCCCCCCCTACCCTTCCATGTACCTTCTCCCCCTTCCCATCCCTCCATCTCCTAAGCTTCCAGCTCTTCCCTCTGTCATCAGCTTGTAATCACGTAACTTCCTCCTTGCGGTCTTCCCCTGGGCAAAATGACACGTTTCCCCTGGAGGGAGATGGCTAAACACCTGAAGACACAACACCTGAAGAACGACACATTTTAGCATGGAGAAATTTTCAGAAAATACCTGCAAGCTGGAAAGAAAATCTTCGTTGAACAGTCTTCAAAGGGTATTTAAGGGGTTGAGAATGCATGTGGCAAATCTTGCAGAACTAGTGAACATCAACACATTATTGGGTAAAATATATAAATATTGTGAAAATAATGTCTAATTGGTTTAGGGGATGAATGAGTATATGACTGTTATTGAAATAGGATGAACAACCTAGCGGGTTTTCTTCCTATTGGGGAGTGTTGTACATGCTGCTATGGCGGTGTGTTCACTCGCAGGATGAGTGGTGCTGCTAAACTCGCCCCTCGGGGCAAAATGAAAAAAAAATTACTGTTATTGCCAGGACTAGCGCCTCCACCTCTGAAGAACTACCCTACACCTCTACCTCTGAAGAACTACACCTCCACCTCTGAAGAACTACCCTCCACCTCCACCTCTGAAGAACTACCCTACACCTCTACCTCTGAAGAACTACACCTCCACCTCTGAAGAACTACACCTCCACCTCTGAAGAACTACCCTCCACCTCTGAAGAACTACCCTACACCTCTGAAGAACTACCCTCCACCTCTGAAGAACTACCCTACACCTCTGAAGAACTACACCTCTGAAGAACTACCCTCCACCTCTGAAGAACTACCCTACCCTACACCTCTGAAGAACTACCCTCCACCTCTGAAGAACTACCCTACACCTCTGAAGAACACCTCCACCTCTGAAGAACTACCCTACCTCTGAAGAACTACCCTCCACCTCTGAAGAACTACCCTACACCTCCACCTCTGAAGAACTACCCTCCACCTACAACTACCCTACACACCTCTGAAGAACTACCCTCCACCTCTGAAGAACTACCCTACACCTCTGAAGAACTACACCTCCACCTCTGAAGAACTACCCTACACCTCTGAAGAACTACACCTCCACCTCTGAAGAACTACCCTACACCTCCACCTCTGAAGAACTACCCTCCACCTCTGAAGAACTACCCTACATCTCCACCTCTGAAGAACTACCCTCCACCTCTGAAGAACTACCCTCCACCTCTGAAGAACTACCCTCCACCTCTGAAGAACTACCCTACACCTCTGAAGAACTACCCTCCACCTCTGAAGAACTACCCTCCACCTCTGAAGAACTACCCTCCACCTCTGAAGAACTACCCTCCACCTCTGAAGAACTACCCTCCACCTCTGAAGAACTACCCTCCACCTCTGAAGAACTACCCTACACCTCCACCTCTGAAGAACTACCCTACACCTCTGAAGAACTACCCTCCACCTCTGAAGAACTACCCTCCACCTCTGAAGAACTACCCTCCACCTCTGAAGAACTACCCTCCACCTCTGAAGAACTACCCTCCACCGCCACCTCTGTAAAATTACTGCCTATAAGCCTTGTTTATTTTTAGTTAAAATGCGTAAACCCAACACCCGGTCAGCGACCGAATCCCGTCTCCGGGGTTCCAACCCGCGCAATTTCCCTCCTGGAGCGCCTCATCTCCCCAAATCAGTCTAACAAGACCTCAAGAACGTAATTAATTCCTCCCGAGGCCGACTCCGTTCTGCTAGTTGACGCCAGAGTTCGTTATATTCACACTTAATTCTACCACTTTTGGTTGATTTAAGGGGTCGTTAAAGGTGGTTTTATTGCAGAGTTCAGTGGCTGGGGCCTCGTAGCCTGGTGGCTAGCGCGCAGGACTCGTAATTCTGTGGCGCGGGTTCGATTCCCGCACGAGGCAGAAACAAATGGGCAAAGTTTCTTTCACCCTGAATGCCCCTGTTACCTAGCAGTAAATAGGTACCTGGGTGTTAGTCAGCTGTCACGGGCTGCTTCCTGGGGGTGGAGGCCTGGTCAAGGACCGGGCCGCGGGGACACTAAAGCCCCGAAATCAACTCGAGATAACCTCAAGATAGCAGGCGACAGTTAGGAGGAAGTGTTTCTGCATGACTTGTGTCGACAACCACGGGTCGTGTGTGATGTATGTTTGGTCGAAAGTGGTGCTTTCGTTCTTTTCTTGGTGCTAATTTAATGGATTCGTGAATTGATTGTGTATAAGTGTGTTTTATCGTTGACACGGTGGGCGCAGTATGATAGAGTAACGCTAATTGATCGCTGAATCAACGTTAATCAATGCTGAATCAACGTTAATTCAAGGATGAATCAACGTTAATCAGTGTTGTAGCAACGCTAATTCAACGTTAAATCAACGGTAATTAAACGATTAATCAACGTTGATTCAACGTCAGTCATGATGAATTAGCGTTAATTAAACGTTTATATGATATTGCGTCTACCGGGGGAATTGATTAATATTCACAATTGATTCCTGTCTACTTCAGTGTGCCCGAGTACAGAGCCAAGACGACACATACGTTGCTGCATTTCCCACATTATTAAGCACCTAACCGCAAAGTCCACTTCGGGCTCGCCATAGCCCGTGCTACTTGGAACTGTTTGTTCCGAGTAGCTGAATATAAGACAATAACAACCTCCTAACTGTATATTCTTTGTTTCGTGTTAACAATGTCGTTCTTTCAGGTCCCTTAAGTCTGCTGCTGTAGGCCTTATATATTATATATATATATATATATATATATATATATATATATATATATATATATATATATATATATATATATATATATATATATATATATATATGTCTCCGTCTTCTAATTCTAAACTTTGATTCTGATTAAAATTTGGAACGTTGTGTCAAGTTATAAATGTCTCTCCTTGGAGTAATTATTGAGTTCTGGTCAATTTAGCAGCCTAGTAATTCTAATTTCAACTGCGACCTTTATCTGATAGTGTTAAAATGTAGTTTGAGTTGCCTTTTAGATTTCTTTACAGACTAAGTTTATCCAAATATTTTATGATTAGTGGATTATACATTTTTCATATAATAGATAAATTGCACCGGTTGTCTTTTAAAGTTTACATGTATGTGTGTGTGTGTGTTTGTGTGTATGTGTGTGTGTGTGCGTGCAAGAGAGAGTTTACATAAATGGAAATATACTTGTATGACCTCTATAATTCCCGTTTTAATTGAAAGCAAATTGACCGTGTGTGTGTTAGTAGGCTTCAGGGAGCCTAACCCGACAACACCAATATCCAGACAGCCTTCAACCGCTGCCCCATAACTCTGCCCACAAAAAAAGGGGGGAGGGGGAATTTAACAAGTTAATTAGGGAAGAGTTTATATATTAATATATGTTTGTTGCTGGTGCTCTGTGTATTTAATCAGGCCACGAACGTGTAATCAAGTTTAAGTTTATTTTCATAAATCAGTCAAGTCTTAAGATAGCATATTGTTTACTTAACTATTGCAGTTAATGTTATCTACCTTCCTTGTGGCTACCTTGTGTAGCTTTCAAGGATCAACAGCCCCAGCCCCCTTCCACTAATTTACAACCCCCCTCTACTAATATCAGTTCCTTCCATTAATATGACAGCCCCTTTCACTAGTATGACAACGTTCTCCTACTAATACATCAGCCCCCTGCATTAATATGGCAGCCCTCACTCAACTCCGTTGACATTACAGTCCGAACATTACCGTAATTACAAAAAAATACTGAATCAGCTGATATTACCGTACAAGTTTTCATTCCTCTGAGCTACAACCTCCGGATTAGCGAGGTATTCGGTCTTCATTGAATATTAGGCTCAAATTACTAACTTGAGGAACAAACCTAAAAGGCAAACTTGGAGGCTAAACTCTGAAGACAAATTTAAAGGATAAAGTTTCAAGGAAAACTTGGGAAAAATTCATTCCAAGACAAACTTCAAGGATAAATTTGATTAGGCTCTCCAGCGCAACTTTGCTTGATTCTAATGTTTAGTCTTAGTTGTGGGGCGCCTGGTGGAAAGTTGACCAGAAGAAGCCTTTGAGGACAATGTTGTGAAGGATCAAAGTTCACTAATTAAACTTGAACAATATGGAATGGTAAAGTGTTTGCTAATTAGATTTCATGTGACAGAGGCTATTGGTGTTTTTTTTTTTATCTAGATCTTCACGATGGCTTACCACGATAAGACGATTACCACTGTATGTGGGTGTTTACTTTTCTAACATTGCTAGTCTAATTTCCCTCTTCCCTCCCACCCACTTATTCTCCTAGTCCCCCTCTTCTCTCTCCCCTCTATTGCCGTTTCTTCCATTCTCTCCACCGTTCCCATTGCCCCTCCAGCCCTCTCCTCCACTCTTCCTCCCTTACCCCTCCTCTCCCTTCTTTCTCTTCTCTCTCCCTCTTCCCCCGTCCCCTCTTCCGTCTCTCCACTTTCCCAGTATCTCTCACAATATCAGTAGTGTTAATACTGTAAGCTCGAACACTTCACACATGGTTCAACACACAACCTATAAAGACTAAGGGGATAATCATATCATCAAAGTTTTGGATTTAAAGGATAAGCATTATGATTATATTTAGTTATATTTGGGGGTTATCAGCACATACACTTTCCGATATGGCAGAGTATTACTATTATTAGTCCAGGCATATGGTATTACGAGAGTTTGATGGGGAGGTGACATTGAAACTGTCACCTGGCAATCTTTTCTCTGACACTAAACCCGACCTCTCCATGTTAGACACCCAACAGCAATTACTGGAAAAAATGAGGAACATAGCCTCAAGCGTCTGCCCTCCATCCTTAAACAAACTGAAATTTCTATTATTTATATATATGCAATTGACAATCACGAAACACTGATCATTTGTATGAGGAAAATCCACAAAGAAATGGGAAAGGAAGATGAACGTTTCGGCTGTTTAAAGCCGTTGTCAACACCAGACTCAACGGCTTTAACAGTCTGGTGTTGACAACGGCTTTAAACAGCCGAAACGTTCGTCTTCCTTTCCCATTTCTTTGTGGATTTTCCGCATATATATATATATATATATATATATATATATATATATATATATATATATATATATATATATATATATATATATATATCCATTGCCTCAGAGACAATTGGTGCCTGGGGTAAAAGTGATGCGAGTTTTTTGAAGGAGCTGGGTGCCAAACTAATTGAAACAACTAGAGACCCTAGAGCCACCAAATTCCTCTTTCAGCGTCTTAGTGTGGTAATCCAGAGAGGAAATGCTCACTGCATCCATGGTTCCTTCCCGCCATCTGAGGAGCTGGAGGAACTTTTCAACCTGTGACAAGTAGCCTTGTACCCTGCATGTAACCAATGTTGTAAACCTTTTTGGATATATATATATATATATATATATATATATATATATATATATATATATATATATATATATATATATATATTTCATTATTCGCCTCGCCTACCCACGTCAGAAGACAGATGTTTGAAGCACCTATAGTGGTAAAGAAAAAACCAGTCGCCCGCTCCTGGGGTCCCGGTTCGAGACTCCTAGTGTCCAAAGGAATATATACTATATATAATTTATCGAGTAAACAGTAAATTACTTGTATTATCAATTTGCTGCTCATATATAGGTCCACATTTCTACCCTTGTCTGTCTGATATAATAACATATTGCAACAATAAATTGAATTCCTGGATCCCGTACCGTCGTTAATTTGACTTCCGCAATGAATTGTACCGATCAATTTTCTCGTTGTAACTCAAGTACAGATGACCGACAATTTATCACGAGGTGGAACATACAGGCTCTAAAGAATCTCTAAAAAAAATATCCAATTAATATTATCCCATTAATTGAGCTCACAAAGCATATGTCAGTAGCGAGTATATTGTAGGCATAAATGTTAGTCCATGTTTAAGGTATACTCAGTATGTATACCGAGAAGCGGGAGGTATACCTCCCGGTGTATGTGCTCAGAGTAGTAGCATGGTGCACCTCCCGAAACGAGGTATACAATTATATACGATGTTCATCGTCTCTCATCTAATGGGATATACTCACCGCTTTACTACGATGCTCTCTACTCTCGCATATCTCACTCGCATATTGCCTTCCTCTTCCACCCTACACATTAACAGTACCATCTCTGGCCTCCCTTACCTCCCTCTCTCCACTATGGTGCTTTACCCTCTCTCTCTCTCCCCGCCACCTTCCCCTAAACACCTACCCCATCAAAACGGTTTCTTCCTCTCCTGTACTACGCCTCGAGAAATTATGTTTCTCACTTCACTAATTCCGTGTAATCTTGCACATCTGTTCCCATTATTCCTGCTGTCAATTTTAACTTATCCTCTCAACTCATCAATTAGATTAACATTCTAGTTACAAGGTGTGTGTGACGTTACTATGACGTCCTGTCAGAGTTCAAATACGTTTATAGACAAAAAAATACACCTCAAAGGGATAAAGTAGCTTAGGCTATTTCTACCCCCCAAAACGACGTCCTGTCATGTTGGTAC